TGATGCTGAAGTAAGCTATGACCACACCACCGCACTCCAGCCCGGGCAACAGAGTGAGACTCTGACTCTAAAATAAAAAAAAAAAAGAAAAAGGGTTAAAATGGTAAACTGCATGTCACATATATTTTGCCACCAAAAAAAAAAAAAAAAAAAAGTGGACCAGGTGCAGTGGCTCACACACATAATCTTAGCACTTCAGGAGACTGAGGTGGGTGGATTGTTTGAGTCCAGGGGTTCGAGACCAGCTTGGGCAACATACAGCTTGGGCAACATAGCAAGACACCGTCTCAAAAAAAAAAAAAAAAGTGAATTAAATTGGTTATACTCATACCTCCACTTCTCCCAAACAAATGTATCTCATTTTCAACACCTAATAACTACATACTACAGCAATAGTCTCTAATCTACAAATTATCATGTATGATATCCACAAATATATGACCGTGCCCAGCCAATAAGAAGAGGAAGACCAAAAAGAAAGCATAATTATTCTAACAAAATGTAGGGCATTAATCTGCAGTAAGAAGCCCAATACCATTCCCTTGAATACCTCTAAAAATAAGCCACTTACTACATCTTAAAACAGGACTCCAATACCCTACCCTCCCATGTTTATGACATTGGCATTGGTGACACTATAACTCAGGTGATTTGTGATGAGAACACATTTTTCTAAAACTTAAAAATTCCTGCCTGTGTCTTTCTTTCCCCGTAAATTTTACCTCAAGCAGCTCATCTTCTGGCTGTAGGAGACCCAATGTGTCAACAGGACCACCAGAAACAATTGAAGAAATATAATGGTGCCCATCAAAGGAATCCACTTCCACACCAAGCCTCAGAGTGTGAATAGGCAGCAGCTGTAGCAAAACACAAAGCAATGATCAAACATGACAACGACACATCCGGCTATTCATCCTCCATCCACTGCAATTTTGAAGTGAAAAACCCCACCTCTTGAATCAGATCACCAAAATTCTAAAAGAGGACAATAATGGGAAAATTAGCTTCAGGTAAAATATGAAGTCATTGGTCATCTTGTTCTCACTCCTCTTTTCCTTCCAGAT